CGGGGTATGGGGACGGCTCTGGAATGGATTTCAAGTGTTAAGGATTAACGGGTAGCGGGACCCCTATGGATCCCCATGGATACTAGTGGGCTGGTAAATGAGGAAAAGATATGTTGTATAATGATTGAATTACAAAAGGCGTGATAAGTGTTATGTTTTACTGTTTATATGATTCCAAGATTATGATAATGTTATTGCTTTCGTATATTATTTTATAAATTCCACCGAGGTAAGTGAATGGTAAAGGTTTTATTATTAATAAAAGGATTTATTGTAAATTATGCTCCATTGGTCTTTTTGTGTTTTCTACCCACCTTTACCTCCGTGACGGTGAGATATCGTGATGTCTTTACTGGGCTAGTGTAGCTCATTCCTTATTTAATCATTTCAGATCAAGAGGACATCGTTCCCGAGCCGGTTCCGCAGGAGGACGACAAAGGGGACGCCTAAAGACTCCCTAGTCACATTCGTAGTTTTTTTTACTTTCAAGTTTCTCCTTTAGGTAGTTTAATCTTTTATATTTTGTGAGCACGTTTTTGGTTTTAGTGTAAGGGATGTTATTCAAATTTTGACTTCGCTTCCGCATTTGATATTTATAATATAATTTCCATTTTAAATTTCCGGGGCTGCTACAGGATAGGTAAATATAAAAAAACATACCTTGAATTAAGTCTGATATGGCCTCTGCATCTCGTGTGGTGATAACATATACTCTACCTTGGGTCATGGGCCTCGGAAGTTCTTAGGACTCTAGGCAATCTCAAATTAAATGTTGTGTACTTCCACATCGGTAACAACTACGATTGTTCACACTACATGGGCAATCCCCATGATTTTTACCACAACAGGCATAATACGAATTTCTTGTATTACCCCATTGACTCATGGTTGGAATCTGAATGGTTCTCGATCTCTTATCTGGCTGGATGGACCCTAGCATAGATCTCTTGAAACTTAAAAATTCTTTAGCATGTTCTATACTCTCTCTAAAGCGTTTTCACCAACTGAGCTTTCTCTAGGACCGCCTTGTAGGCAAGTAGTGCAAAAACTATTATTTGGTGATAAAGTTTAGGTCTCAACCCCTTCTCGAACCTCCTAGCCTTCTTTAACTCATTCACCATCACCTCTGCGGGAAAACATCCAAAATTTATAAATTTCTCAGCGTATTCCGCCACTGTTTATTTGCCTTGGCAGAGATCTGCAAATTCTACTTCCTTCCATTGTCATAGAAAATTCAAAAAATACTCTGCATTGAATGCTTCTAGAAAAAATTTCCAAGTGATAGGGGGAACCAGTGCTCCCTTCTTTAAAGTCCACCATTATTTTGCTGCTCCCCTTAACACAAAAGTGGTCCATTATATTTTTTGCTCTACATTCACCTCTATCACACCAAACAACTTTTCAATTTTCTTAATCCAGTCTTCTGCCATCAATGTATCAGAACAACCACGGAAGATAGGGGGTTTAAGTCTCTTAAATTTTTCAATATTGTTGGTGTCAACCCCAACATGCCCATGATTCGGTGCCTGTAACTGTGTGGTCTCATGTCGCATTTCTCTCTCTCTGATCATCATTGCCAAACTCTCCACTACCCGACATAATATGTTAAAGTCCTCCTTACCAATCACCAATGAGGGCTGCTCTGGCATCTGCAAAGCTGGGGGCAATGCCTAACGAGCTAGAGGTTATACTGAGCAAAAAGGTGGTGGTCCCTATAATGTAGGAAAGGGAACCTGGTGGAAAGAGGAGATATAAGTTGAGTCTTCTGTGGTCCTTGGCAAGCTGGGGTAGTCTCCCTTCGTGGCCTGTTTCTTCCCCTCTTCATGATTTTCCTTGTTCTTGCAACCACAAAAAATTAAATGTCTATGGCTCCAAAGTTCATATTGTCTAATCCACACATACATACATCTATGTTATCACTAACTAATGTTATCGTAGTGTTATATTATCATCATCAATTCTACATACATATATTGATTATTATTGGGTTATTTCGTATTTTATCCCAGAGAACCGCTCTGATACTAACTGTAACATCCCCTTTAAATTTGGGTGTTGGAAACTACCCTTCATATACGTCAATATAAAAGATTTATAATATTTAACCGTAATTCACTGTAGATCTTCATAAAACAGAAAATCTCTTTCCTTGACAACAAACTCAATAGTTATAGAACTAAAAAAATCTAAAGAAAAAAATACCGTCACAGCAGTCATCAATTATAAACTTAATACTTATCCACTCTTCAGCTTGTACATTTAATCCCATCTCAGTGGCTAAGCTGGTCACTATTATTTACTCTTAACAAAGTAGTTCTTCTTTTTCTTTTCTACTTAAACATGCAAAATTAGATTGGGAACTATAGTGTTCCAGTCCATGGCTAAACTTGGCCCTCGTCCGGGTCCTATCCCAATTATGGAAGCTCTTGCGGAGATTCCTATTTTACTATCTCTGTACCAAAAATTAAGCAATGAGCTAATAAAGCCCAGTAAGAACAAACTCTTGTATAGACCAAAGAATTAAAATAGAAGTAACTAATTAACCACCCCCCGACCCAAATTTTTCCATCATAACAGGCTACATCTTTTCCTAGTATCTTTCCTCTTCCCTCTTCCCTCTTCATAATAGTAGGTTTTCCCGTACCTCTCTTTTTTTTTTCTTTATTGCTTCCCTCATCCCCAGTTCCCTTTCCTGCACTGCTTGGTGACTCCCCAATATGCCCATTCCTTTATTCTACCTCTCACCTACAAGTTTACTCTCTCTTTCTCAACTTCTCTGGTTCTTTTTTTTTTTTAACTATTTCAATCCTCTATAGACCCTCACCTTTCTGTACTAACTTACATAGCTCACGGAGGTCCCTGCCACACCCGAAGGGCTACTCTCTTTCACTGCCTTATTTTTTTTTCTCTCAGCCACTTCTTTTTGTTATAAGCACCCCACTACTCGTCTGGCCTACTCTCTCCATGTTTTTTTCTCACTTAGTCTCTCTCTCTCTCCCTTTACACATGATCACCATTTTCTTAAACTAGCAGAGTCCCTTTTTTTGTTTTTTTACTCATATTTGTAATAATTTTTTTATAGACAATTCCACATTTATGCTACTTATTTAATTCAACATCCACAAAATTTGGTGAATTAATTCATCATAAAATTCTTAACTCAACACACACACTTGACAACCCAATTACAGGTCACATACACAACTTTATTAAAACTCGCAATACTGCAGTGAATGCAATTAAGGTAATATAGAAAATGCTTATGCATACATATTAGCTTTTGTTCAAAAACTTACTACCGGGTTCCATCATACACATGTACTCAACCATGACAAGTTCATAAGCATTCAATTCAAACACTAAGTTTACATATTCGTCTAGAATCATTTTTATTCCTCATCATACACATACATAAAATAGGTAACACTCTCACACAGTACTTACTCAGTTCTGTATACCATCACAGAGTTCATATTAAAACTCAATATTTCATGGCCCCAAAGTTGGCCACTCTCATCCACACACACTATTTCAGAGTGATAGGTTAAAATTTGGAACAATCACAGTATATATATATAGATATATATATATTATATATATATATATATACTGTTTCACGTTTTTTTCATTTTTTTATTTTATTTTTTGTTTATCCATTCCTCTCTAATTCCACTATATTCTTGGTACTAGTGGGTGAGTCCCGCACTATAACCCCCCTTTCCCATCCTCTTACCACAAAATTTCCTCTTATCCTTGGTGTATTTCCCATTTGGTTGGGTACACACACTGCTACCCTAAGGAACCCACCAATTTAGGCCTATTTCCATATCAACTCCTTACCACTTCCCTCTTTGGAAATTTGGGGTCTAGGTTAATCTATTCTTCTCTTTTCTATTCTCTTTAACTAATTGGTTCAGCTCTCATTTTGTTTTGGTTGTTCTATTTCTTTGCTCGTTCTTGTGTCTTTCGATTTACACTCACTAAAATTTTATTTAGGAAATTTAGTGGTAAGAAATGGATTCATCTTGTATCGTGCAGGAAATTAATTCAACTACTTCAAAACTCGAGTTTAAGTTTAGCTTGAACTTACCTCTTTGTTCTTCGAGTACTGTGTCTACTTCCCACAACAACTTTTCCCCGTTTGCTCTCTGCTCGGTCGTGAAGCACTGATTCTTTCTTCTTTCTTCTCTGCACTTAGTTTAACACTTCCGTTCCTTTCACTCTCCTCCCCTTTGTTTGCCCTTTCCCTTCTCTACTTATAATCCTTGAAATACAATCTGGACTGTTGTTCAATTTCCTTCCATCTGAACTGTCCACGTATGAAGAACATTATACGCTTTCCCGCACCATCAGCATCATGTGTCTCTATCAATGTTGTTCTCTTGTAACCAACCCAAGGTTGTCTCACCTTCAACTTGTGTGTCCTCATTCATACTGTTTCCCTTTAACAGATTCCCTATAACTTCCCTCAAGCATCATTCATACCGTTTCCCTCTAACAGATTCCCTATAACTTCCCTCAAGCACCCGCTTCACCTACCTTTATTCGTTGGTGTTTGATTGTAATTACACTCATTGGCTTAACTTTTAATTATACTCCATTTAAGCATTCATCTTTTATCATATTAACCCTAGTTTTTCCTTCTTTATTTTCCAACTTGTATAACAAAAAAAAAAAAAAGACTTGCTGAATGCTCATTCCTCTCATTAGTTATGCATACTGTATATATATATATATTTTTTTGAGTATAGCATTTTTTTTCCGGTTGTTACATATACTGCAATTTTTTTTTTCCAATTCCTTTATATTAATAAATAAGAATTTTGTAAATTTAAAAAATTTGTTTGTATCTAATTGGTGGTTTGGTTTTACACTTAATAATGCACACCTTGTTTGTTATTTTTAATTTTTTTTGATCTTTTAAGATAATAAGAGATAATATATATATATATATATATGTTTTAAGAGTATGTAATGTACAATAATAATTGTAAATTTTTAATTTAATTTTAGTTCTTTTCGGTTTTACTCGTGGCTTGAGATCTAGATTTTCAAAGAATCGCAGGAGACGGACTCTAGATTTTCCGTCGCACAAATCAGAATAGGAAGAAGGAAGCAAAACCCTAGGATTTCCCAAACCCTAACCCCGAAAGCAAACCTTCATTCCCAGCACCCGACAATCAAGCCTATTACAAACAGGATATCCGATTTTACTGGGTAGTAATGAGTAGTAACAGAGCTCGGAACTTTCGCCGGCGGGGCGACGACGATGGAGATGAGGATGATACAGAGGGTTCTACAGTGGCAAAACTCGCACCTGTCCCTTCTTCTACAAAACCTAAAAAGCCCCAAAGCTCAGCTCCGAAGAAGCTTCTTAGCTTTGCCGATGACGAGGAGGAAGAAGGAGGAGCTCGTACCATGTCTTCCAAGTCCACTTCCTCCTTCAAGATCAAAGACAGAGAAAAATCCTCTTCTCGTCTGATGAAACCCAGTTCCTCGCACAAGATGACCTCGGCTAAGGAACGCCTTGCTTCTGCTCCTCCCTCGACGGCTCCTTTACCTTCAAACGTACAGCCTCAAGCTGGAACATACACCAAGGAGGCACTTCTCGAGCTCCAGAAGAACACGCGTACTCTTGCTGTGCCTTCCTCTCGCCCACAGCTCTTGTCCTCTGAGCCCAAAATAATTCTCAAGGGCCTGCTTAAGCCCCAGCAACAAGACTACACCACCAAACAGGCCCCGGGATTGGACTCTGAAGAAGAAGACGAACAGCTCGATGGTGTTAAAGAGAGAAAGGAGAGTTTGTTGAGGAGGGACAAGGATGACGCACCTACAGGTACTGGAAAGGGGAGTGAGTTCTTTCCTGACCAGGCCACCATAGAAGCAATCAGGGCCAAGAGGGAGCGCATGAGGAAATCCGGAGTGGTTCCGGCTCCTGATTATATATCTTTGGATGGAGGGACTAATCATACTGCCGTGGAGGGATTAAGTGATGACGAAGCAGAGTTTCAAGGGAGGTTCGTGGGTGAGAGGACCCAGACTGGGAAAAAGGGTGTGTTTGAGGATGTCGATGAGAGGGTAATGGGCAAGGATACCAAGTTGCGGCCTCTTTATAATGACGATGATGATGAAGATGAGGAAGAGAAGCTCTGGGAAGAGGAACAATTTAAGAAGGGATTGGGAAAGAGGATGGATGATGGGCCGGTGAGGATAACAAGTAATAGTAGTGTTAGTGTATCTATGCTTCACACAGTCCAGCAACAGCAGAAGTACATCTACCCAACTCCTGTATATGGTCCACAGCCGAATCTTTCAGTTCCTCCGAGCATTGGAGGAGCTGTAGGAGTATCCAATGGTTTGGATGTGATCTCATTGTCACAACAAGCTGAGGTTGCCAGGAAAGCTTTGCACGAGAATGTTAAGAGGCTTCAGGTATGACTTTGATCTCTTGCTCTGTGGGAACTCATGGTTATCACATTCTGTTGCTCTGACAAAAGATCTTAAACTTACTAAAGGTATTATGATAGACCTCTTCTATTGGAAAAACGAGCATATTAAGAGATAAATAGGGACAATTAGGTATTCTCCAAAAGCAAAACAAAATGCGGAGAGGCTAGCTAATCACAGGAAAAAGTAGTTGGTCAATCTCTACTTAAAATCGATAAGAAACATCCTCGACATGATCATTAGCCTTGGCTCCAGAAAAAAAGAATTTCCAAATAGTTGTAAAAGGTGAATTATAATTCCGAAAGATTACCAGCGAAACAGCCCCACACCAAAGAGTCTTACGGTTTCTCTTCATCCTATAATAGTAGACTTATAAACAGTACAAGGTATTTAAAGATTATAACTTTTAATCTACTCGGCAACCCAAACTTTAACTCATTCTGCATAAATTTCCCTAGTTGGAGAAAACTCATCCATGAATTTTGGGTGCAAATGATGTAAAACCTTGAACTTCGAGTTTGTCCATGAAAATTAAGAAACTAATTGCTTTTCCGTGAGTTTTTAAAGAGTACAAGCTTTTCCCACATTTTTGAAAATGAAAACTAGCCCGATCTGGCATAATATCGTTTTT